TCGATCGATACTAATAAGACTATTTTTAAAAAAGTTAAGAGCGTCGTATTTTTAGTTTAAAAAATGTAAATCTGTTTGGTGTTATTCGATTCTAAATGGAAAAAGGTGAACTTTTTAAATTTGTTTCCCAATAATATTTTTTCAGGTACGATTTCTGATCTATGGACTTGCTATATGAAGAAATCGGTTAATAGGCTTAAAAGATTACGTGGGTGCAGACAGAAAAAAACAAATTATAATCAAAAAAACATTATTGTAAAAACAGTTCCCTCGCAGTACCGTATCAAAGCTAAATTACTATACGTGGGATTTCAGAGTTAAGCAAATATGTTCTTATTAGACTGATTTTCTTTATCTATAGTCTGCTTAAAATCATAGTGAATCGGTATTGTTACTTAAGAGTACCTGCATTTACAATAAGAACATTTGAATTGGTAATTTTTGTCAAAGACTTGGCTTCTCGACAATACTTAATAATTGAACGTCCAATAATGTGAATTAAACATTTTTTATTTTATTTTCAATTATTACCTGGTGGTTATAATTTAATATGATTTTTTAAAACTGTACCTCACATTTGTGGTAGCTAACACGTTTATAGTTGACGACACGCATATCATTGTTGGTCTACTTTTAATATAGCGAAGTCCGCTAAAGAGTAAATAGGTGTTATACTAAAATGTTTTTTCAAATCGAGAACAAAATAATATTTTACCTTTTTTGACGATACGCGACTAGTGTGGGGAGATTTTTGATGCAATATACAACAGATAACTGTTATATACTGTCTGTTTCCTTTCGAGTTTCTGTAGTAAATTTTATAAACGTATATAAAACGACCGGACTTGGGAGCTATCCGATCGGAAACGTACGTACCGGAGGCGTTTCCGGTGGACGTGGTATGATTTACTGCTAAACTACGCGGAAGTTATATTTATACCGGATGTGGCATCGTCTTCCACGTCTCATCGATCTGGGTTTTAGTACGAAGGTGCAGAGTGAGGATGTAAAAAAAAAAAATATTGGCACGACGTTGTTGACACACTCATGGGACACTAAAAGCGTTATATAACGTTTATTTATACATTAAGCCACCTCCGCTCCGCCTTCTTGTTCCACGATAGTTTTCCTAACCACGATATTTTATTTATTTCGTTCTATTTTCTCGAAATGGCGTTATTTGGTCTCCGAGCGGAAATCTAGCAATCCTTAGCGCCAATTGCCATAACGTGTGTGCATTTCTATGGGCGTGTGGATCGAAAGAAATAAATGAAAAACGTGTCTTTTATAAGAAAACGCTAACAGCACATTGATGCAATCAATAGCTACGGGGGTCGACCATAGCAAAACCAATTTCGCCGTCACCGCCAATTTCATAAACCCTCTGGGAATGTTTACAAACCGTGTATAGTAGCATAATTAAAACTATCGTCTGCTCAACTGCCGGTACATTTACACCTAATAAACTACCAAACATTTGTTTTAAATGCATTATACATTTCTATAAAGATATCAAACAAGCGGATATTTATTTTGTAATTCATTACCGACAAATGTTTATTACCGTTGAGAAGTTTAAAATTATGCCAAAAGTTAATAACTGTGTTAACATGCAAGTGCTGTTAAACGAGACATAACAGAGCATACATATTCCTTCTTTGACAGCCTTTGGATGATAAATAATTTAATATTCGCAATATTAGTAACTATAATATATTACACTTTCCAATGGAATTTCTGACGACGTCGACAATGAAAAATAAATCTGCACGAGCAACGGTTGCATTAGTAATAGTTGTATATTTCACAAACGAAGGCAATATATTATCTTTAACGCTCGAGCGTTTACCGTATTTGCTTCTTCTTTTATTTCGAAGAGGCAATAACAAAACGAGATACGGAAAGCAGTTTTCCAATTTGCTACAGTAATGCAATACAGATGTACGCCTTTGCACTTACCCAACATTCTATTATATTTACGCCAAATTAAAAATTTATCTCCTAACCTTTTGTTATTAAATTCAGTTATATTAATTTGGGTGTTTGAAACGTATTGTTTAACTGTATCGCTCAACAGGAATTCTGTTTTGTTTTATTCTGTAGTTTTTACAAAAGACAAGTTACGGTTCGATCAAAAATTTGTCGATAATCGATATCGCCTTCTGTCGTGGACCGACTAAGTTATATTACTCTAAGACTTATTAGATTATATCACGGATGATCATTTATTTTACTCGAGCTATGGATAATCCTTGATCTGTCAATCGCGAACAGAAACTTTTTTAACTTAAATTTACGATGGATTGACGAAGAAATGGCCGGTCGTTTGGTTGTCAAAAACTATTTGACAATAGTTGAATGTAAACTTTGATTTAAAAAAAAAATCCTCATTAAAATACGTTGGAATTCTAATAAAAAACTACTTACAATGTACTATATTTTTTTGTAAAAAAAACGGAGCTGTGTACTATTTTAATGTACGATAAATTATTTTACTTCTGAACCCATTTTTCTATGTACCCATTTTTATTTGTCCAAGAAACAACTAATTAGATTTTATTAGCGTTATTGTTCGACAAATCTTTTAAAATGATGTTGCTGAGCAAACTTTATCCAAATCATTTGAATAACATAATCAAGAAATAAAATATGAAATTCAGTTCTACCAACGTCATGTATACGCTTTATAAATTAAATTAGTATTTGCTGGGGGAAATCGTGGCGTGCCTGGATCGCGTGTTTTCCATTTCATATCTACGATGCGAATTTCGATGTTCGTGAATTCCGCCATAATAAATAATTTTTTAAAATATTTTTGTCGAAAACGCGTCTCATAAACCGGAAATCCATAGGGACATCCCGCTTGTAATTTTTAAACTTTTTTTTCAATTTCAAGGTTCTGATTTAGGTCTGTATAAAATGGGCTGATTATACTCACAATGACATAATAAGCTCAGAAGTATAGAGAGGTATGTAAAACTTTTGATTACATTAGGCTAGTCTATTTCGTTCTATACTTCTAAAGAAGCATACATTCGTGTGGGTTTTTTTCTTTAAAAAAAAAAAAAAAAATAAAACACATTTCGTTGGAGTAATTTTTCCTAGTGGAATGGTTCAGGCTACAAAACTCTTGAAACCGTGGTAGTTGTAAAATACTGAGCTAAAACTAGAAAAAAATTACACTAATACGAGTACAATATTTTATTAAACCGACTCCCACAGTGTAATTCACAACCGCTCTTGTCTGTTTCTTTCTGTGTGCTATGTGCTATACCTCGGGGATTCTCCGTTAAATACGTACAAAACTAATGCGTGTTTTTAATAAATAACAAATTGTAAAAACGGGTAAACAAATCTCACATCTGAACAATGTTATGGTTTCACTATCATTATCATTTTGACGATATTGATATTTTTATACATTTGGTACGATTATAGTTTTTGACCATCTCTGAAGATACTTTAATATTACTACTACAGTATGTATATTTTACGGGTGTGTATTGGACGGTATGTTTAAAGAAACAAAAATGCGCCAATGGTAATTATTCGAAATCTCGGGAACAGGTGTTGCACAATCCAATGTTGGGGTTTCTGAGCGTTTGTACACAACTCATCACACGTTTACACGAAACGGACCACCACGGTCGCCATTTTCCGGTCATATTATTTAAATGAGACAAGGATAAGTTGACACGTTTTTCAATAGGCGGTGGTCGTTGCCGCCGTCTGTGTGCGAGCTGCGACCCTATCCCCAAAGAGCCTGGGCGTGTATATGTATGTGTGTGTGTGTGTACACATACTTAAACTCGGCATTGTATGTGTTTTTCCCCTTTTTATTTATTTATTTTATTTTTTGCTTGTAAAAACGCAAAGCTCGAAATTAATATTTCCCTTCGCCCAGCACAAAACAACACACACACACACACACACACAGAAAAAAAATGTATACAAATAAAATACCGAACCGTAAAAAAAGCAGCTCCTGTATGTATAATATATACGTGTACATGTTGTTATTTACATATATCCGACGCCCGTGGTTGTAGAATAGAAGCGAAATATTGAAAATAGTAATCGACCCGCAGACCCTCGCTTACATTTGCATGAATAATAATAAAAAAAAGTAAAGATAAAATGAATTGATATTTCTTATTCAAACGGTATCTATAATATGCGTGTCGGGATATTCTCGCGGAATGTGTTCTTTGAAAAATATAATATATATATACACTCGTTATATACGTTTGTACAACTTCTTTTCTCGTGTGGCCTTTTTACATTCGACTGATTAAACCTATCCCTGAGTGTAATCGCAAAATATATATACCTGAATTATAAATACCTACTTCTTGTGCCGATCCGTATATATTATATTTTGTGCATACATTGTTGTCGGCGGCATGTAAATTACTATATTATATTAAGTGACCCATTTAACGCAAGACACTCTATTTTCTAGGAAAATAATTAAAATTGTTTAGTTGGTTGTTAAAATATGTGCATTTATGTTGTACAATTATTTAAAATTACCAAATATTTTTTATTTTGGTATTTTTCGTATTCACTTTTGAAATTCAAATGGAAACGTATGTAAAAAAGAATAATTTGCTGAAAATGTTGACTGGTCGATAACAGTTTTTAATAATTTAGGACTGAAGTGGAGTGCGATTCAGAAATGCGCGCATAAAAAAATAATACTTCATTCGACTCTACTTCTCGTCCTAAACTTTAAAACTTTAGGGTTTTTGAGCAAATAATTTTTCTTTTAAACAATTAATAAAATATACACTTTCTTATTAAAGTTTCAAAAGTTGATAGCGCTCTGGGAAATACTCATAAAGATAAATATTTAGTGATTTTATAGTATTGTAAGAATGTAATTATTTTCTTAGAAAGTGAGTGTCTTGCGTTAAATGATTCACCCGGTACATATTTAAGTATATTTGCAGTTTGTGTAATCATGCAGACATTATATGTTTTTTTTTTTGTACTTTCAGGCGGAAATATGGAGCGTTTTTATCGCCATCCTAAGGAAATCTGTGAGAAACCTGCAGGCCTGCACCGATGTCAGATTAATCGAGCTAGTAGTGAACAGGCTGGCAAATGCCGACACCGTAGTAGCAGGTAATGTAAAAAAAAGTTTGCTATTTTATATTAATTAAAAGATCATTAATATCAATTTCTGTATAACAGTAATATTTTCTACCTATTGAAACTCCAATGTATGGAGACATCTCGTGTTAGTTTATAAAGTTTCTCTATTTTCCAAAGTCTTTCAAAAATATAAAAAATGTATTTTATCCAATTTAATTTTATAGTTTTCAAAGTATAATTTATTAAGAGTTTTATTATTGTCACTATGGTCTTTAACTTAACGCTAAACCTAACATTTATAACTTCATTTTTATTTTTTAAAGACTAATCTGTTGCAATGATAATTAACGATTTGTTTTTTAAATATATAGTAGGTATACTTAGTTAGCGGGTACTTTGTTTGATTTATATAGTTTACCACCTAGGTAACGAGTCGCCAATTCGAAGGGACAATTTCCCTTCGTTATCGTTTCTGGTCAAGTTTATTAGATTATCAAGTTAATCCTTAATGTCAAGTTGATCTAATAAATACTAAAGAAGATGCACATTAGTATATTTCTGTGCAACCGACTAAGTTTGTCAAGCTGAAGGTTGGCACTTTATAAACTCTCTAGTTAAAATTTTTTAACATGTGATTAGAGTATGATTTCAGTTAAGTAAATCTTATCCGGACTTGCATTTGCCAGTAATTAATATTGTCATGTCATAAGTTTATTTTTAGCTGCTGATTTGAACATTGCATCTTTTAAGCTTAAACTTGTAGCATCAGATTTGTATTTAAATAATATAAGCTTTTATGTCTTCGTACAATTATATTTTTATTGACGTTTCCATTATACTATGATATTGATATACGAAGCTTTTAACAAAGACGGGCCAATTATACCTTTTGACAGTATTTACAATCTAAGATTTTTTCTTGTTTTCCATTGGTAAACAAGTCCTTTTAGAAATCGAGAAAAACTCGAGAACATTATAACAACATGCTGTCATTGATTTCGTATTTGACGTGGGAGATGAAGTTTTAAAAATAAAGAACAATAATAAATTGTCAACCATCTCCAGACTTAATCATTATTTTTATTTTAATAACTTATGTATAGTAAACCCTAATTGATCGTTCAACGTTTTGTTTTGTACTTACATTTATTATTTTGATTCTTCCCATAAAGTATCTAGACCACAATGTTCAATAGAGGTTAGCCTTTAAAAAAAACCTATGAAGTTTGAATAGTTGCTTCCTTGTTTTGAAATAAAACGTATGAAAATGTTTTTTAACATTTCAAAATGTGTATATGTAACAATTAGTTATAAATAATACATTATGTTTTCAGATCTTTTAATCGACATGCTTGGAGTACTGGCCAGTTTCAGTATTACAGTAAAAGAATTAAAACTATTATTGGGTTCTATGAAGGCTATAAACGGAAAATGGGTAAGTAAACAGTAATATATTTAATCTTAAATTTGTATCAATTATTTTCAGAAATGCGCGTGCTTCAGGTTGTATAAAATTCACTTTAGTTTATGTTTTTTCACAGTATAAGACAATACTCCAGTTTTTATTTTTTGTATTATTTTACAAAACTATCAACTCTTAATATTTATATAGTTTAATTACTATTAAGTTACTAAAGCTTAAATTTTAAGACTGTTGGAGGGTGGAGTGTAGTATTTCTATTTTATCTGTGCGCGTTACTCTACCGCACTTCACCTTTCGTCCTAAACTTTGAGCTCAATCATTTTAAAAGATTAAAGCGGTATAAAATACATTGCGCATTTCACCAATATTAATCGCGACCCATGATATATACACTACAAAGTAAAATCGTTTTTTGATTTTGTCGAGTTGGCCAAAAGATTCCGTAAACGATTATCTGTAGGACAATTAATGTAATTCGATTTTGTCATTCAATACTTGTTTGCTGTTCGCGTATGCAAGCGTTCCCCTTTCAGAAACGACAAGGTTTTCGAACGGATTAATTTCCTACTGTGTGTGTACCTTTAAACGAACTTTGTCGTAGATTCGTTGCGGTAATGACTCCTCCGTTGTTGCCTTCATAGTCCGTAACCGTTCGTCGAGCATGGTGGTCGCCCTAACGGGGCGAGGTTACGACTTACACCGACTTGTTGTCACTTTAATTTGTTTATATCTCGCCGGGTTTATGGTTTATACGTCTCGATTACAAAACGAAACGGAAATCCCATTGGCACGGTAACTTAAATACCAACTTTGTCCGTATACCTCCAGTCATTACCGATTTTCAGGCCTTACTAGCACACGGCCGACCGGCTTAACGAGGGTTCAATACAATACCGGGTGGTTCGTTTCGGTGCACACGAACTGCGCCCCAAATGGCAGGTAGCTAAAATATTTACACGAAGTGCGCTTAGAAATCAAATTTGGGTAACTAAAAAAATGATCAAGGTCTCTCAAACTATACGGATATCAAGTCAAACTTAATTTTATATAGTATGTTATGTTATGGTCTAGATTATGTGTCTTGGATTATCTATCAGTTTCCACTGATTTTCTTTTAAGAAAACTATGAAGTTGTTGACAATTCGTATTTGTGCACTAATCGATTTTCATGATTATGATCATATTACTATCACTTATTTAAAAAATCGATATTATAACTTTACAGTGAACGTGTAATATTATTTATATACTGCGCACTACACTTGCCATAATAACTACAAAGATTAGTAAAGTTGTAATAATTTGTTTTTTTTTTTTAATAGCTTTTAACCAATTTTATAGCTATTTTTGTAAAACGTAGTCGTATTTAAAATAAATAAAATATTTTTCTGATCTAAATTGTTTACAACTGGAAGTCGATTAGTCAACATATCAGCAAATTATTCTGCTTTTAAAAAGTTAACTAATTCATATGTTCCCATTTAAGTTTCAAAAATCTACAGCGCTCTGGAAAAATAAAAAAAAATGTAAACTATATCAAGTATTTGGTAATTTTATTTGTATTGAATAATAACATAAATAAAAATTGTTTCAAAAAAAAAAACATATAAAATTATAATTATTTCCCAATGTTTCGGTCTTACTTTAAATAGACCACCCTGTATGTACTATAACACTAAGTTCGAATGGCGTTTATTAAAACCTTGTTTTATAGTTTTTAATTTCGAGACTACCGCTTTGGTGTTTACGTGTCTGGCTGATTTGACAAGAACCTAGGACAGATTTATCCGCCTCGATTATTCGAACACGCGAACCCCAAAAGTAAACATTACAACTTACAATAGTAGCCCTGTTACCATTTGCCAATACAATACTTAATACTATACGCACGTGTACCACCCCTGAGTTGCTGTTTGGTCACGCTTTCGTTCATTTTATTGTGCGCTAGTGTAAAGTAATGTAAGCAAATCATTCGAGTGTTTATTCAGATCCGATTTTCAATTATTCATCTATACCTACCAAAATAAAAATACTTATCAATAATGAAAAAGAACGTTCTACTGACGGGCTACCGAGCGTTGTTGTGTGAGCACATTTCAAGTATACAGTATACACTTATACATGCTATACATTGTACATGTACTAAACCCGAACAACTCGGTAATCTATATGAAGTATTCGGAAATAAAATATCTTCTACAGCATCACAGTTGTAGCTACATATATATATATATATATATATATATATATATATATATATATATATATATGTGTGTGTGTGTTATATACATGTAGACTCAGGCATTAGCGAGACGGAAGTTTGATAGATGTTTCAGAAACAGCGTGTGTGTCAAAAGTTTTCAATGGTTGTCGCATACGATTTAATATTATTATACAATTTTCTTACTACATCTTATCTCTTGTTCAAATTTCGCACATGCTTCTCGTGAGGAATCTACCTCATGTTGTTAAATTAAATGCTTCAAAAGAAATAAATCACAAACTCATTACGATTGATTGAAATTATTTAATCAATTTAAAGGCTTGTTTCGTTCGGGTGAAAATATTTACCTCCTACGTTTTGATATTTGTGTTTTTTTTGTGGATTTATTTTGCCGAATTTCAACTTTTTATGAAGAAAAAAAAAATATTGAACCCAATAAAATTATATTATCAATATTTTATGTTGTTTAGTATTTGACGGTTATTTTTTTTCATGTTACTTTAAAATAAAACATCGACAAAAATATAGCACAACACATATTTAATATTGTAAAATGTACATAATACGCGTGCGCACAAAATAAAATGTAAAAAATATGTAATTTATAAACAAAAATATTTTTTTATAAAAGAATATATTTCATTCGTTCGTTCTATCACAAAACAATATTATATTGAAACTCAATACAATATGTAAAAAGTTTATCTCGCCAAAGTGTGTCACTAAATTAAAATTACCTAATTTCCGAATAAACAGTTTGCCGGTTGTTCTTCACTATGTACTATAAATCACTCAGTTCCAACTTGCACTAGCGATACATTAACGGCGTTCATCCTCACAATGTGATATATGTATGTGCTCAACAACAGTTTGTACGTGTAATTCTCATATTAATTGTCGGTAAGGGTATGCCGATAAGTCTTAACACTGTTGTTTTATTCAATTTCAAACTAGAATTGTAAATAACTGCGTGAAAGGCTTTATATCCGTCGTAAATACCGACTAGAAGTCTTGATACGATGGCTTTTATTTAAAATTTTTAATACAATATTTATCATAAAAGTCATGAAAATCAAAATCCAAACAAAATTGATAATTAAACAAATTGTGTTATCTATTTATCAAAATTTGATTAGGACCAAATCGTGCTTTTACACATACTTGCAAAACCCCCCATCAAATTTCACTTTTGTATTTTTTTATATTATTGGCGAGTATAATTAATTTGTATTACTTGTTATAATGTACATCAAAAGTAAACATTACTGAAGGTTTTAACTGGCCGATATTACACAGGACACATTTTGTTTTATGTTATTAATTGATTATACACATTTTCCTAAAATAAACTTTTATGACTAGAATGTGAATGTCGTGTCATAGTTTATTTATGACATCAAAGTTGACAAACTATAAGCTCATAAATTTTAATTTTTAATTTTACAGTTAGCCTTTGTCTAGGTAGCTGTTGTCTCTAAAGTACACTACAAAACTATGTCCTATGTTATAATATACATGCGATTGTTGTATCTCATCAATGAATCTAATTAGAAAAATGTTTAAATGAGTACATTGTTGCTAATAAATAATAATTGATTAATTAAAAGTTATATACTTTTAAGGGGTGTAGTGTATGCAAAATACGTACATGTGTGCTCTGAAATTAAGACGTTGCCTATCTATTATTGTTTACACGATTTCTTTATGATAAATATATCCTTTATTTACGTAAACTGCCGAAAAAAAATATTATATGGCAATTCTCGATTATTTAGGCAGTATTAAAAAAAAATTATGTTGTCATAATTATAGTAGGTATTATAGAGTATTTATTTTTTATGTCGACGAATGATTTTTACAAAACACTTGCACTGTCGTGTTACTTAAAAGCAAAAAAACCACCACAACAGTCCTTTGCGTGACATCGCCGTAAATATAAGTTAGGTTACTTAACAGCATTTATTTTTATATCTTTTGTCTGCAGATATCTTTTCTCTGACTTTTATTTCTAGGTGTATTAAAAATACAATACGGTTTATTTCGCAAGATGGGGTTGTCGATTTAAAAATTAAGTTTACAAACGTTTCATTTTTCATAACGCTGTATTCATATTTTTTCAATAATGATATTATGCGATGGTCTCGTTTGTTCCGTCATCGAATGTACAATAATATCACAAAAATAATGTAGTAGTGTCAAGTACTTAAATGTTTTCAAAAGAATATAGTACATATATATATATATATATATATAGAAGTGAAAGATATGATAATAAATACAGAATGATGTAGTATATTCTTTTGAAAAACATTTAACTATTATAACAAATATAATGCATGTATATTAACTATGTTAATTTTAATTACAAAGTTAAAACTCGCAATATTTGAAAGAAAATCTCACGGCGAATGTTGGATTTAAGAGAGACCAGAACACGGGAGAATATGAAAAAGGGACTAACCAGGAAGTAAGAGATATCCTAGAAGACGTGGACTGAGTTGCAACAATGAAAAGTAGGAGGATAAGTTGGGCAAGTCATGTGTATGGCGGGGACAATCCCAATTAATCAGAGAAGTCACAAAATGGATGGTGGAGAGAAAAGATCGTTTAGGCCGCCCAAGGCAGAGATGGGCGGATAGAGTACAGAGCGACTTTAACATGTTAGGAAGAAACAATAGAGAGAAATGGCTGTTCGCGAGGAAAGGCCTAAATAGCCTATAATTAGCCTACAGAAAAAAAACTTAAAACTTAAATTCATCAAGAGCAATTCAATAATCACTTTTCAAATATTTGAGGTTTATTATTATTAGAGTATTGTTTTTCAAAACTTTTTAGGCCTTTTTTTTACACAGTTGTGCAATATTAATTGTTCCTTTTTTTTTTCTCTATGTTTATCTTAACACTGATACTATACAGGGCTGGTCCTGCGGTTGTTGTGTTAAGGGTACAATGTAAAAACAAGTATACTTGGCATACGTGTTTTTAATTCGTATATTAAACGAGTTAACTTAATTAATACTATGTACTTCATTTATGCGTAAATTAGTTGTATACAAACAAAATGTTTTGTAAATCAATTCAAGTGTTTGCATACAAACGTAAAACGAACTGTATTTGCACATATTTTGTTTATTTAATTGTAAATACCGGGTCTCGCCCTTCCTTTATTGTTAACTAATTATCAAAGAGACTTGCAAATAATAGTTCATTTATTTTTTAATTGACACCGACTTTGTGTTGCCTTTACTAAAAAAAACATTTTTTGGTTATTAACACTGCCTGTATGTTATTACTAAGTAAACTTACTTACATTGATACTTATATAGAATATTCAATATCAATTAAGTATAAAATATTTTACATCGTATAAATCAACGTTATTAACCGAACGGGATTGCATTTGCCAATTAAATCACACAATATTAAATGCCCCTAATGTTTCGTAAATTATATATATTTTACTATAGGCGCAATACTTAAAAGGAATAAATCAAATAATTTTGATTTTAAACACCTATAAAAGTTCATTGGGCATACGAGACATTTTAACCGGAGAATACTGTGATTAAGCACTCTAAAGTTAAAGGATCATCAATTGCATTGCTCTAATTAACGTTTAGATTTTCTTTGTTACAGCCGAAACACTCGACGAAGCTTTTGAACGTTTTGCGACAAATGCCTCAGAGAAACGGACCTGACGTCTTCTTTAGTTTTCCCGGCAAAAAAGGATCAGTACGAGGAGTTTTTTACTTTCTCAAGTATTTTTTTTCTGTATGCGTGATGGCTTTTGTTTTTGTTTTAGGCTATCGTTTTACCTCCGCTGGCGAAATGGCCGCACGAAAACGGTTTTACTTTTTGCACGTGGTTTCGATTGGACCCGATTAACTCGGTGAACATAGAACGCGAAAAACCTTACTTGTACTGGTATGTGTGCAATATGCTATTAAAATTATTGTTTACCCATTTCAAAAATTAAATTTTTTTTTTCTGCCCTAAAACAGTTTTAAAACGAGCAAGGGCGTCGGGTATTCCGCTCATTTCGTCGGAAACTGTTTAGTGTTAACCTCGATGAAGATTAAAGGAAAGGGTTTCCAACATTGTGTTAAGTACGAATTTCAGCCTCGAAAGGTACTAATCCCGTTTATAATATTTGATAACAAACGAACAAGTCGCTGTAATAACTATTGTTTTTCGTGTCCTCGTAGTGGTATATGATAGCCATAGTGTACATTTATAACCGGTGGACCAAAAGCGAAATTAAATGTGTGGTCAACGGGCAGTTGGCGTCTAGCACGGAAATGGCGTGGTTCGTTTCCGCAAATGAGGTAAATATTAAAACACCGACGTATCTAACAGCTGTGCGTTGCACAGTTGGACACTGGATGAAATGTGTGGCACTTGATACAATTAAAATTATTACCATGATCTGTTTACAGCCGTTTGATAAGTGTTATATTGGTGCGACACCGGAACTGGACGAAGACCGCGTGTTTTGCGGCCAAATGTCGGCCATCTATTTATTCAGCGAAGCATTGACCACCCAACAGATTTGTGCCATTCACAGATTAGGGCCCGGATATAAAGTATGTACACCTTGAACACATGTTAAGTATACTAGGGATCCGGTTGGAGTTCTGTGCATCGTTTACATATATTCTTAAACTTTATAAGAAATATTGTTTAATCATGTATATGTTTTGCAAGCTTTAAGATTTTTGCAATCATATTCAGTTAATGTAAGTTTGAAAGTAAAATATAAATTTTTCGTTGAACTTTATCCGGATCCCCGGGGTACACCTACCCTATTATAATATTTTAGTTTAACTTACCCATAATTTTTTCAAGGCTAGTTAGTGTTTGATATCCAAGAATATTGCTTATTGCAATGTTGTTAAATGGGTTTAAAATTATTAAAAATTCATAATCACAATATTGCATTTCAACATTTTACTAGAAAAAAAATAATTGTTGAAAACCCAATCATACTTTGTATGTTGCATGAATAAGAGTAGTTAGATTGTTTTACAACTTTTTATAATAAGTTTTAGTTGTATATTTTTTAACCATGTAACTTAATAAGATTATTAGATTAAAATACATTGTTGTAATTCATTCTATTAATTTCGTGAAAAAATGTTATTTATTTTTACAGTGTCAGTTCCGCTTTGACAACGAGTGCCATTTGAGTTTACCAGAAAACCACAAAAGGGTGAGTGAATTTAAGAGCTTGAGCCAAACCGCCCAAAGCCAGAATGCAGACAATTCTAGCATGTCTCAGCACGCTGTTGATCGTTCTGTAAGATTTTGTTTGTTTTTTACGCACTTTGACTAATACTTTTTTTTACATTTAAACTAACTCTAGATTCAAGACCGATATCGTGAAATAATCTACCCTTTGTTAAGTTTTAATACTATATTTGCGAGGTATCGTTTAATTCTGAAACGCATCCTTTTATTATTTTTTTAATTTAAAATCATTCAAATAACCCGATGGTACGACTAATCTATTAATTTGAACTTTGATCTTATAAGATATCGATAAAACAATCCACTAAAAGTGTTTTTTTTTATATTAAACATCTTAGTTTTTCCGAATGAACACTGCTGCTTTTTAACTTTGTATTTTAATTCTAGTCGATTTAATAAAATTAACTTTAATTAGTTTGCGATTCATAGCCACGTTTTCTTGATCATAATTTCACAAGACGCGGTCATTTGGTTTTCATTTTTAATTTATTCAAATTATTTTTATTTATTTGAAAGTTTAATTTTCTTTGTGACACAAACATTTACAGTAATGTCTTACAGAAATTTATATACTTTATGACAGTTCCTATATTATATAAGGTAAAAATGACAATTATTTTAGCTTTCATGTGCAGCTGTTATGTTGTAATAGTGTGTCTACGTTTTATTCTTAATTTTTTTTACCAGGGTACTTATATAATATTAAGTGCATAGTATATATATAATATTTTCGGAACTGCTTTGCCGTTTTTCAATGAATAAAGACTATTAAGAATTTTACTTGCGGCTTACAAATATTTTCCTCAAAAATGATTAAACAAATAAGCATAATTGTTTTAACATTTTCAACTAATTTATGGTCTAGCTGTTGTTTAATTTGTCATATATATATTTTTAAATTGTAGTATAAAACATAAAATGGCATATTTGAGTCGACGGGTGACCGTTTTCAAAATATACAATACGAAAATATGTGTCCTTTTACTCGGCTTAACATAAAACATATTATTATAAATTTGTTGCTCATTGGTACGCTAACAAAGTATTATTATTGACAGTTAGATATTTTGTTCTGTTATACAAAGCATAATATACAATTTGTAATGATTGAACGGGTTCGCTTTATTAGCTATCGTTTTGGTTATCCATGTATTTATTTAATCAAATGCGCTTCTAGCTAGAATTTAATTTTAAAGTCGTGTGCTTTTTGAAATAGGCATTTTCAATATATATATATATATATACCATTTATATTTATTGGCATCTTAATATTGCTAAATAATTATGTATTTAATCGGAGTTGGGCGATGTTCGAATGGTTTTTTTTTTTTACCAAAATATAATGTTATTTGAATAGAATATTCGATTGCAAAAAATGATTGATTATTAAAAAAAAAAAATTATTTTCATTTTAATTAAATTTTGCCCAACTCTGGCATTATTTTGTTTTTCGACTGAACGCTGGATTTTTCATTCGACCTTACGCTTGGGACTTACCAGAGTTAACACGACAGAGTATATTTAACCGTATTACTATACCCTCGTAGGTTCTTTATGACGGAAAATTATCGAACGCTATAGTGTTCATGTACAATCCGGTAGCGACCGACAGTCAGCTGTGTTTGCAATCGACGCCGAAAGGAAATGCTTCATATTTCGTACACACACCACACGCGCTAATGTTGCAAGTAAGTATCTGAAAATATACTATATGATAAACCGTTACATTAAGTGCACAGCTCGAGTCCGTTAGCCATCCTTAACAGAACGAAACGAGTTGTCGGTGTAGTCGACTGTGTTACAACAATAATGTACACTCTTCTAAGGGGTCGTCTTACGATTTATGATTGTGTGTTCCACAGGACGTTAAAGCTGTCATCACTCATTCCATTCACAGTACTCTGAATTCCGTCGGCGGCATACAGGTACTGTTCCCGTTATTTGCTCAACTTGATTTGTCTGCCGAACCGCTGGATAAAAAGGACGCCTCCATATGGTATGCAAATTAATTTATGCGACGACAAATAAATGTTTACGCGTAGTAGGACCGACTCAAAACTTGTGTATTGATCGAATAAAGTACACATTAATCTTGCGCGACTGTTGAGCGTTCGAAAATCATTCGTATTTACTTCCGGCATAATTTAAACTCGATGTAATCCCAACCGTCTTACGACGTTTTTCATAGTGAAATCAATTTAAATATTTGTATATCCATAACATTAAAGTGTCAACACCGCAGTGTTTATTAAATACCGCGAAATAACTTGTTATTGGTTTCGATTATTCGATTTTCCACTTACAGTGAACGCGTTTGATGATATTATTTGCCTAGGGGTTGTTTCCGTTGTCATTAACTCGGCTATTTTCATGTTTAGCTGGAAACTACTAGGGTTTATCTGCGACATGGTGGAAACCTCACAGACCGTTCAACAGCATATGATTCAAAACCGAGGCTTCCTCGTTATCAGCTACATGCTTCAGAGGTCGTCCCGTGAACATCTGACTTTAGAAGTGTTGGGCTCGTTCTTACGGCTCACCAAACATCTAGTCACTTGCCTCACACCCAACAACGAGTTATTACTTAAACAGGTAACCTTTAATCTTAGTATCTGAATATCTATTATAATACTCTTTAATTCCGGCTTATGGCCCGTCGATGCGTTACAATGATGTAAATCGTTCCCAGAACCGAGATAAAACTTCTTAGTATAACAGTTTTTTGGAAAATCAACTTTTCGTAATTGAAATTATTTATTACAAATAACTGTTAAAATAAAACTTTTTAAAAAAAGTTCTATAACCATTTCAATCCCTGAATTGTTTACATATTATTTTTTAGCTATTTACGATCCAATATCCGTTTATAGGCCTATCTACCAAACACCTCCCCTCCGTTAATCCTTTGTTAGTTGTTCTTCGTTTTCCACTTATAAAACCTTGTAGGTTTTTGTCAATCCATGATTTTCTCGGACGCCCACTCGACCGTACTATATCCGTACGCTCTACTCCTCTGTTCTTGGGGTTTTTTTTTCTGGATTAAATCGCTCGCTTGTCAAACTATGCGTATGGACTTAACGTTTCCGCGTTTGTTTGCACAGCTTCTAGACCACATACTATTCAACCCCGGTCTATGGATATACACGCCCACTCACGTACAGACCAGACTATACACTTATTTGGCGACGGAGTTCCTCTCGGACACTCAGATCTACTCCAACGTGCGGCGGGTATCCACCGTGCTGCAAACCGTACACACCCTGAAGTATTACTATTGGGTGGTAAACCCTCGGAACAAAAGCGGTATCGTGCCGAAAGGATTAGGTAATTGAGGATCGCGAACAACACGAACGGTGGTTGTTGGTGGTCGCATTAAAAAAAAAAAAAAAAAACGATTCGATGCGCGTTTTGGTTTTCAGACGGACCGAGGCCAGCTCAAAAAGACATTCTCATCATCCGCGGATACATACTGTTGTTCCTCAAGCAACTGATGATGCTGGGGGTCGGTACGAAAGAAGACGAGCTCCAGAGCATTATAAACTACTTGACTACCGGTACGTGTATATTTCAGTACTCGACTATCCTCTTGCTTGCAAAACATAAAACAACTGGGACCTTTTGAAAACGGTTGAACGGTTTTTAGTTTGCGAAGACGAAAACTTACACGACGTTCTCCAAACGCTCATGTCGCTCATGTCGGAACAGCCCGCGTCAATGATACCGGCTTTCGACGTCAAACACGGTGTTCGGTGCGTTTTCAAATTAGTCGCATCCGAAAGTCAATTAATTCGACTTCAAGCGTTGAAACTTTTGGGATTCTTCCTGAGCCGCAGCACGCACAAGTAAGGCACACGCGTTTTACTTTTCGCCGGAGGGATGTAAAAAAGTTTTCACACATAGTTATGTAGATATTTTGAACCTTTTGACGTTTGCATACGTTTAACGTGTTCAGTAATAGTTATAATGTACCTACTCTGTTCTCTGCATGCGCCACTGCGGTGTGTATTGTTTGGAGTTTAATTTTGTTCCGCCGCCGTCTGAATATTCGTGTACAATTTATTATCAGTCGGTCTTTATCGTTATATGTATTCAACGTTGCGGAAGAGTTCATCATTGTCGTACGTTTTTCACAATTCTAAAGTTACTACTCTGTCAAACGTGTTTAGAGTGGTACGTTTTTATTTCTGTTCTCATTCGGGTTTGCCATGAAAACGACGGTGCAAGACGTATTAGTAATAATAATTGTTATTACTACCTAGCTTGAAACCGCAAATAAATGGTTTAACGAAGTGACGCTTTTTGTTTTGGAAACTTTAATAATATGTGCGCGTCCTAATAACTTTTTTTGAAACGTTAACTTCAATAACACTTTTTTCGTTGAAACACGTAATTAATATTTCTGACGTAGTTTTCTAAAGACAAACTATTCAAATATAAGTAACAATAATAAAAGGCCAGCACAGTAGGGTCAAAACATAGCGGTGACGCAGCATTTTGGATCGGGTAGGTCACAGGCTTTTAAGAATTATATCTGAAAGTGTTAAATTTAAAAAATACCTTCTCAGCTGATAATAATATATAGCTACTATAATTATTACACTATATCTACTACTTTACATCTTTACCACATGTCCACGTAGCTCATAACGAGGGTTCATACGTTTAACTTTGAGTTGTAATACTTTTATTAAAATAGACTAATTATTAAATAATTTGCAATTTACATACTTGCTGTATTTTGAATACATTTTACGGAATATCCGCTTAACGTAAAACTAAGTATGGTATTAGTTAGTGTGTAGAACGCCAGCGGCATTTTCACTGTATGGTAACTTGTTTACTGTATTTTATTTAATAATGTGTTAAGTTAATATTAAATTGAGTTAAAATCTTTTTTTTTTTTTGTAATTAATAACTACTTAATTTTCAGGAGAAAATATGACGTGATGAGTCCATTTAATTTATACACCCTTTTAGCAGAGCGATTGATGCTACATGAAGAAACTATAACGCTACCGACATATAATGTACTCTACGAAGTTAGTATATTTATTATTAAAACTCCAATATATCGAAAAGTAGAGATCGTTAAAAATACTTCAGCTTAAAAGAGATAATAAAATGTATGTCTCGAACATTTCCTCCTCTCTCCTCAAGTATACAGTTTACATATATTTTGCTCATTCCTGTAAAAATTGTGTGTTTAATATTTTTTATAACATTATTATATATCCAAACTATAGTTTGTAAATCTCAAATTGGACAATATTATTTGAAACGGATTAAAACGTGTACAATATTTTCTTGTAATTATTGTGTTATTGTTTTTTTGTAGATTTTAACAGAACGTATCAGCCAGCAGATTCTCTACACAAGACATCCGGAGCCCGACAGTAACTGCAGAATGGAAAATCCTAGTATGTCACAACTAAACTACAATGTTTTATCATTGGTGCTCTATTTCATATTATAATTTGAATGTTTTCAGTGATTCTCAAAGTCGTAGCCACTTTAATCCGTCAAGCAAAACCATCAGAACAACTGTTAGAAGTGAAAAAGATATTTTTATCTGATATGACTATCCTTTGTAGTAACAATCGTGAAAATAGAAGAACCGTACTGCAAATGTCTGTTTGGCAGGTAAGACATAAGACTTCAAAATGTATTCTGTATAATTGACTTCGTCATTTAATTTTAATTTTTTTTTTTTTTTTTTTAGGAATGGCTTATTGCAATGGCATACATCCACCCAAGAACGTGTGAAGAACAAAAAGTTTCCGACATGGTTTACAATTTATTTACCATGCTTCTTCATCATGCTATTAAACACGAGTACGGTGGATGGCGAGTATGGGTCGATACACTGGCAATTGTTCATTCAAAGGTAGTATTTATTAGTAGTTTTACAAAATGTTTTATTAATTGTGTTCAATTGCTTATTTTACTGTTCCAGGTTTCTTTTGAAGAGTTTAAACTTCAGTTTGCTTTAATGTATGAACATTACGAACGTCAACGCAGCGATAACATAACTGATCCTCGGTTGCGACAACAACGTCCAATTAGTACTATATCTGGTTGGGAAAATCAGCCTCCAGCGCCGCCCATTAATCATTCTCCGTCCGAAAGTCCAGTAAGACTTGTATTTTTTTTTTTTTGTCATTTAATTTTATCTTTGTACTTACAAATGTTAACTACAATTTAATTGTCCTCATTTAGGAATCAGTTGCGAGTACTCCAGTGAAAGATACACAAACACTGATAAATGGCGATAAAAATATATTAGAGTTACCAGAGTTACCAAATAATGATATTCGTTTAATGGAATGTGATGGGAAAGACCAAAAATTAGAAGTAGAAACAGATATAAAACGCCATGAAGAATCTACCGAAAATGATGGAAAATTAGATGAGATTTCTAATAAGAAAGACCACAAAGAAGACAAGTCGGTGAAAGAAATTTTCATCGAGAATATAGAAACAAAACAAGACATTAACAATAAAAATGACTCAGAAGAAAACATTGACAACTCTCATAACACATTAGAAGAAACAGAAATTGATGTTAAAAATAATCTTAACCAAAACGAGAATATAGATCTACAAATAGAAAAAGATAGAGAAAATAATGAAGTAGAAACATTGAATGGTTGTTGTACACAACAAAATGAACTAACAGTAGAAGTGACTGAAAAGGGTGAAACAGCAATAGATGAAAAAGTTCATCAAGATGAAGAATCTGTTGAAGAACCTGTACTTATAAATAGTAAAATATCTTCCATATCTAGTTTGGACAACGAGCAAATTGTTGCAAGTAAATTAGAAAATGACCTACAACCAAATGCACTTGCTGCAATTACTTCTACTGAACAATTGTTGAATAGTATCAACACAATGTTAAATGAAAATGAAGAATCTGCCATTATTGAGAACGGAACTGACAATGACATTTCTATAGTTTCCAGTAGCTCTGAAAATAATAAAGAAATAAATAACAAGTTCAACGGCAAAGTAGCTAATCAAGACAGTATTAGTAACAGCAGTGATAGTGAAACCACACCAATTACAGAATCTTCACCAAACAAAGTACTTAACGATAGAACTAATGAAGAACGAGATGTCGACCAATCAATATCTGTATTTACTATACAAACTTGTGATAATGTCGACAGTGACTGTTCAGAAGCATATTTGACGCCAAGTGACCTAAACGACACACCAAAAAAAATGAATGAGAAAAATTTTACCCAAACTGGTCCAATCAGTATTATTCATGCAGACGATTCAAATATGCCCATAGAGCATAATAGCAATCTTGAAACCTCGTCCGTGAACCCTATCGATACAAATTTAGATAACACAGATATAGTTGAGTGTGTTACAAACATCGAAATAGTTGAAAATAAAAGTACAATTGTGAGTAATGAAAATAACGAACAAATTGATCTTCAAACCCACAAAGAAAATGTTTCAGAAGGTATTGTATGCTATTTTATTGTAATTTATTTTTTCTGTTATTTGATATTTTTTTTATATAAGGAAACATATTATCTATAGCCACGTTAATAACTATTTTATATAAATATTACATTTATTCTCCCAATACTCTGACAATTATATAATGTGCCATAAATACTTTAGAGCATGCCTGTTATACTGTGTTTTCAATTTTCAAGTTGTTAAATGTTTAATAAGTAGTGAATTATTACTGATAAATTCAATTAAAATAAATTGAAAATGCATTTCCCCCATTACAAAACAGTGAATGAAAATAAATAAAACTAAATGTCTTTTTTTTAATTCATCACTTTATAATAATTTAGTTTAAAAAAATGTATTTTCCTTTTCAGTTTCAGAAAAAAATATTGAACTGACTAAAATTTCAGACAAAGTTGTTAGTGATATAAAATCAGCTGAAGGTAAAGTTCCAGGTACAAAAGATATATAATTTTAAACATCCTAAGTATCCTATTAAATTTCCAGTTAATACCGTGGAAGGAGAAACAGATGAGAAGACTAAAAAGAAGCCAGCCGCCCCAAGTGTGGATTCACGACCTATGTTCAATCCAGGTCCTTCGAGACCCCCGTTTAGAATACCGGAATTCAAATGGTCTTACATTCATCAAAGACTATTATCTGACGTTCTGTATTCCCTCGAATCCAACATACAAATTTGGAGAGGGTAAGATTCATATAATCTATTTATTATCTACAATGTTTTGACCGTTTCATTCTTGTTCTAGTCATTCTACAAAATCTGTACTGGATTTTGTTAATGGTTCTGAAAACGCAATATTTGTTGTCAATACTGTTCATTTGATCTCTCAGCTATCAGATAATCTAATCATTGCATGTGGCGGGCTGTTACCATTACTTGCGTCGGCCACATCACCCAATGTAAGCATCACAAAATACACTGTAAGGTTTACGGAAATTGTATTTGTTTTTATTATTTTAGAGTGAATTAGACATTATGGAACCTACCCAAGGAATGACTGTTGAAGTAGCTGCATCGTTGTTACAACGACTTGTGAACATGGCTGACGTACTAGTATTTGCTAGTTCACTGAATTTTTCCGAATTGGAAACTGAAAAAAACATGTCCAGTGGTGGAATACTTAGACAATGTCTACGTTTGGTTTGCACAAATGCAGTACGTAACTGTTTAGAATGCAAAGAGCGCAGCCGCCTTTTAGTTTTACCGTCACAGCCAAATAATCCAAAACAACTGCACCTACAATCTCTCATACGAGCTGGCCAGTCTTCGCCAAAAGTATACATTATGCCATTATATTGAATCTGGTGTAATCCTGTGTGAAATGACATTTTACTTGATGTGTTTACTTTTTCAGAGTTTGATTGATGGATCAACTAATCCGATACGTGATCCAGAGAAATTACTACAGGAAATGGATATTAATCGTCTACGTGCAGTTATTTATAGAGATGTGGTACTTCTATAATTGTGTATACTACTTGTTCAGCGTAATTTAACCATTTCGTTATTTTAGGAGGAAACCAAACAAGCTCAGTTTCTGTCACTAGCTATTGTGTATTTTGTATCAGTTCTGATGGTATCGAAATATAGAGATATACTTGAACCTCCAACAACTTCAATGCAGGTGCACGGAAGCACGCCGGCCAACAACCAAGCGCCAACCGAAAGCCCAACAAGTAAGGCATTTAACTTAAGAGAATGTCATGTAAAATTTGCTGTCTTTGTCCGCCGCAAACGAAATGTATAAAAAAACGTGTACTGCACTTCCAATATAGTAAAGCTTAATATTCAAATTTATAATTTTAAAACAAGCAAATAAAAATTATTTGTTTTATATATTTAACTTTAAATATCTACCTTAAAAATTATAATTTCGAAAATGTCTCTATCTATTGCGTGTAGATCAAGCAATTTTTTTTTTTTTTTGTAATATAAAATTTTGCTCTAAATCCGACCATTACGTTATGCTATCAAAAGTCCGGTACACGGTTTTCATGTATCCTATGTGTGACAGACAACACATTTTACTATTAAAACTCCATCATCTTAACAGGTACATTTAACAATGTCGTTCTGTAACAATAACCCACTTTAAACATAGTTTAGTGGCACTTAAATGTTGTGTCCCATATTTTGTTTAATGGATTTTAATGATAATCTTATTGTACCCAGATTGTCATGGTACAAGACCATTGTTCCCTCAATGGTCTCATCATGTATATCCCCAATTCTTACCTCCGTCGCATTCAATAGATCCACAAATGCCCCGTAACTTCAGCCATCGCAACATAATGTCACATTACGCTGCGCCCTCGTTAGGACATCAAGGTCAGATTGTGATTTGCACATATTGTGTTTCTGTTTGGTTTTCTTTATCATTTTTCATTTACCAGCATTAGCTACTCGAGTACAAGCATTTTCTTTTATGTTATAGTTTTGATAGTTGCTCAAAGCACAATTTTTTTATCTAAGTAGTATTATAGTAGTTTTGTTGTATAAGATATTAAAAATCATTTGTCCATTATTAGGCAACTAAAAAATATGTTTTTGAATTGTTTACAAAATTGTGTTTTTAATTAAAATAAAATAAAGCATAATTTTTATTATAATACATTCACATTATGAAGTATCTTTAATATTAACCAAAATACTTTACTATTATATATTACTACAAAGGACATTTAAAAAGTTAATAAGTCATAATAAAACAATTTATTTGAAGATCTCTGCAGCATTTCCTAATCAAAATTAAATTAGTCGTTGACTAGAATACAAGTATGGAAATATTATAAACTAATCTAGTCGATCTAAACATAGGTGTCAAAATCGGATATACATTTGACATATATCATATTAATTGTTTAGTATAACAAACATTTTTCACCTAGCATTTAAAAATAAATGAACTGTATTATGTATTATGTGTGGCTTGCATGTAGTAAGTAGTTATTCGTAAATAGAATATATAGGTAAAATTAGAAATTTGATCATGTTGCATAGTATTAAAGCATTTTTATGCTTTTAATAATATTAAGAAATAAAATTGCATGATAAGAAAAAAGTTTTTATATTTAATGCCTAATTCACACACATTTGTTTTAGCAGATGAGGAAGATTACACTGTAATGGCGTCAATGGATAATATAGATCATTCTTCACAGCCGTCAAATAACGCTTGTAATAAGGTAAATACTGAGAGAGGGTGTTATAAATAATAGTGAAATTCAACGATAAAACGTTTTTCTTATATATCATAAAAACATTATAACTTAATTATAATAAGTATTTGTTAAAATAATAAACTGAGATTTCAGTATTACTTTAGTTTAATTAATTTGCTTGGTGTTTTTCTAGAAAACTTGACGTTGAATTCTGTTATTTGGAATAATCCATAGAAAGCTTATAGGTCCAGTTTACTTAAATATTTAAGTCTAAACAATATGTAATCATTATGTTATTTTTTAGTCAAATCAAAAAGTGAATATTTTAATATTTATATTTTATAGAATACCTTTCTATTCTGTTATTTTTGTCCATATATATTTATAGCAACTGCTTCGAGTACCGGAATCGTCATTGGACGGTTATTACTTTCGCTACAAGCGTAAGGTTATAGATAAAACCGTATCGTCTCTTAAAAAGGTACTGGCTTCAATGCCAACCAACAAGACACACCGTTTATGAACACTGAAAATACAATTTTCACGCACACTTTACATGCATTCATGATTTTTAAATTTGTAATATTTTATTTATAGTATCACTGTGAATGATTATTTTGTGTCTGGCACACTTAAAATTAGGATTTCTTTTAGTCATTAATGTTATGTGATTTATCTTTATAACAGATTTTGTAATTAATTTTGTTTTTTTTTTCCAGAGTGTTTGTTCGGAAGAACTAGCATCTACTAGCTCGCAAGCATGTAGTGATGCCGACAGTAATGATACTGATAACAAAGCCAGTACAATAGTGTCAGCTCAAAATGAAGAAGCGTGGACTGACGTTAATCTCAATGAAGATTCTCAATCAAACAACGAAGATGGCAGACGAATTCACAGAGGTATTTGTTGTTTGATTGCTTAATACCAGTCTTTAATGGCAATATTGTTCATTTAGATGTAAGAGGAGATAAGCCGTTAAGTGAAATATCTGTTGTAAATGTTCCTGCACCTACTACTCAGAATGTTAATGTGCAAAATCCCGGACATAATGTTGAAGATTTTAGTTTAAAGAATGTTAATTTACCACATCAAACACACGTTCCTAATAGAGAAGCATCATTGACAAATAAGTTGGAAGCTGCACTCGGGTCTGTGTGTCCATTGTTACGTGAGATCATGGTGGATTTTGCTCCATTTTTATCGAAAACATTGGTTGGGTCCCACGGTCAAGAATTACTAATGGAAGGAAAAGGTAACTATTAGTATTTAATCTGGGAATGCAGTAAAATTTTAAAAACATAACCCACCACAAAAGTAGTTTTAGAATCAGGAAAAAAAGTAATGTCTATTTTAATTTAGTATATTTAATTTTAAATGTTTATATTTCATAATCTGGTTAAATTATTACATAGTGTACGAATTTCATTACTATAGGCAACCCCTATGAAGGTTAATCCAATGCTATTACTTTTTTTAACAAAAGTAATCCTCTCTACTATAAAAAACAGTATAGACGGTAAAAAAAAATGTAATTATATATTGTTATTATTGATATAATAGTAATAATGTTTTTAAGTTTTTCACTTGTATATGCTTCTTCTCCTGAACTTTGTTTTCAAAAAATGATATTGACTCCTTTAAGCTTCGTTTATGGTATTTAAACTATTATAATATTGTTATTAGGTTTGACAACTTTTAAAAATAGTCAATCAGTGGTGGAACTTGTAATGTTGCTGTGTTCTCAAGAATGGCAAAATTCATTACAGAAACACGCCGGTCTCGCTTTTATAGAACTTATAAATGAAGGGCGGTAAGTTTTATACAAATTTTAAAGATAAATAACAGTTACTGTAATTTTTTTTTTTATTATTAGATTACTGTCACATGCTATGAAGGATCATATTGTTCGCGTAGCCAATGAAGCCGAATTTATATTGAACAGGATGAGAGCGGACGATGTACTTAAACATGCAGATTTTGAAGTAAATACAAATTATAAATTAAAACAAAAATTGTTCACAGAAAATTTAAAATATATTTCCGTTTCTTAGGCTCAATGTGCTCAAACTACATTAGAACGCCGAGAGGAAGAAAAAATGTGTGACCATTTGATAACAGCTGCCAGGCGACGCGACAGTGTTGTTGCAAGTCGTATCTTGGATAAAATCTGTAATATTCTCTCAAACAAGCATGGTGCTTGGGGTTATTTACGCGAAAACGTTCCCACGAGGTAAGGCTGTTTTCCTGTGGATTCAATTTTGTCTTAAACACGGTTTTTGTTTTGGACATTTCAGAATGTCTCAATTTTGGAAATTGGATGTTTGGGAAGATGATGCCAGACGCCGCAAACGGTTTGTTCCCAATCCAAAAGGAACAACTCATCCAGAAGCTACGTTAAAAGCGGCTTTGGAACACGGCGCTCCTCAAGATGCTATACTTCAGGCTAGAGAAGAAGTTTTCCATGCACAGTTAGTAGCCATGAGCACACAAAGTGGGCCGGGTGGTCAGTCGTCTGATTTGCTTGACGATTCAGAACTTATGACTGATGACAGAGAACTGGACGTTGACCTAACGGGTGAGTAAACCGTACTCATGTTTTCACTAACCCTGTTTTATATGTCCAAAAGTATTTGTTCTAAACTTGTTATCGACTTGTCTAAATTTCAAGAAACCTTCTTTACTCTTTAAAATATCTCTTGCTTTTTTTACTTCAAAAATAATAATATTTATAGGCTGTAATCTAATAAGTTATTTAGAAATAACTAATTAAAAAAATATTTATTAGATAAAAAGTTATTGATCGGGAAGAACACTGTTGGATTTGTTGTAAAAAAGAGTAAACAATGTATCTTTTAGGAACTTTGGTGGGAATTTTGTTGAATAATTGCAACAGTAGATCATTTGACTTTCTGATTACTTCTTCAAAAAACAATTTTACTCTTTCGTTCACATTTTTTTTTCTTGATAATATAGTGTGTATTGGTACTAGTTTTTGTTGAGAATGTCGTCAAAAAATGTTTCATCCGCAATAAAAATGTTTTTTGTTTATCCCAAAAAAATGTTAATGACGTCGAAAAATTGTGATCACATTTTTGTGAGAAATACCAATACCGAATACGAATGTTTTATCCTTCATTAATGTTACAAGTTGTACATAACTAATACACGTAATAAAAATAGTTATTAGATATTAAAGTTTGCATGTATTTTGTTGCGGTAGGCCCTGTGAATATCAGCACCAGAGCTTCGTTGATCTCGGCCGGAGTCGTTGCACCTGGGATTGTTAGCATAACGTCGGCAGAACTCTATTTTGAAGTGGACGAAGACGATCCAGAATTCAAAAAACTCGATCCCGAGGTAAGAGCGTTTTGTAGTTGTATATATTATTAGTTTAGCTAAAGGCGATTTTTTTTTACGATTAATTTTGCACGACGATTGAGATAAGCAAAAATCGTATTCGCCTTAACGAAATAAGATTATAAATCTTCGATTGTGAATTTCCATTTACAGATCGGTAGCAATGCTTCTTCTGTTTTGTTTTTAAAGCAAAACATTTGTGAATAATCGATAGAAAGAATCCGTCTCATTTAAATTGAATTATGGCCTATAGTAATGCGACTTAAAATTTAAATACAATTTTGCCAATGTCGAATAAATCAATCTACGAGTATCTATGTCAAACGGCCTATGCTGAATGATCATTGTTGCATTGATGGAAAACGAATGAATAACTAACTGATCGTGTAGTCTGTAGGTATTATTTAACCATGTTGAAGATATACAAGCTGTGCATTGTTCATTTTGCTTATCAACGTACACAATTAAAATAACGAGCGACCGTTTTCATTTTATGACCCGTTCGTTTAGCGGTCGTTGTCATGGGAAAGATTTATCATTTGATTATCCATAGGTATACTATATAGAATAATAATACATATGAATGTATGTATATATATATATATATATATGTATAAAACTACTGTATAGGATTGTATCATTCACAATTTCACATACTATTGGTTCGACCGCATTTTTAAGTTCTGGTATCTAAACATTTATTTCTAAGACGCTTCTAGTCTTTAATAGTTTATACTTTATACAATTTATTTAGTTCCATATCTATTATTATGTTATGTCTAATTATTTATAACTTTAATTTTAATATGCATAAAAGTAATAATTCCGTACGTTGAAAATCAAAAATCTAACCATTTTGAAATACTGTAATATTCCATACTGATAATTAATACTGAGATAATTGTGGAATGATTATGTAACGACAGTTGATATGGTATATTGTAAACCCTAGTAATTAGTAATAATTACCGTTTGCCAGTTTCTCTTTAAAATAGCATTATATTTTGAACCCTATGAAGACAGGTGAATTAAAGATAGAAATGAAAAGATAAGGGAGGGAGTAAAAAATATGCACTTATATGATATTTCTAATAGACTGGTTCAAAAATACATTTTTTTTTCGCTCCCACAACGAAAAATGGTCGGTAAAAAAAATATCTGGTAAAAAGAAGAGATTTTCCGATTTTGTTGGGCTAGTCAAAAAGGTATTCTTAATTTTCCATTTTAATAACACACGAGATATACATGGCAAACCACTCTTAAAAATGTATCGAAATTATAGAAAATGCATAATAATTTTGAACGTTCACACAGGTTAGGTATAACCTAGCATTCTCGATTTGAATTTTTCTAAACGGAAAGTTTTAAAAATCTGCACGGCCGTTCAAACACTTTGAAAAATTGCCAACAACCCACACTAGGTAATAAGTGTAGCGTGTTTCGGTTAAGAATGATTTTCCCGGTAAAAGGCAATCACGGTGCTGCTGCGGGTCTACGGACGCTGTATAATTTACCGTGTTGTCCTGCGGTGACTACTGCCGGGTGTATTTAAAACCGTTAGTAAACATAAATAACTTCAAATGGCGTTCAATATCGACGTGTGTGTGTGTGTGTGTGGTGTATAAATTCGAAAACCATAACTCATTGCTTGTGCACTACCTATACCGGCCGGACTTGGTCTCAGGTCCGCTGGTCCAGAGATGTACGCGCGCCGTCGGTAGATGATGTATAGTAAAATTATTGTAATACAGTGTAGCGGACACGGGGCACCGCCGCCGGTTGATGGGGGGGTCACGTTATTATCATAACAACATATTATAAATATGATTCGGAGCCACCGCAGCACCGGCTGCTGTATGTAGAATATACCTACTGTCAAACACTACTGTTTGGGCACCACACACGCGCATAGTATAAATACATATATATGGTTATTAACTAGTATATTATATTATATAGAGAGGTATGAAATATTTGGACGGAATCAATTACCGTAAACGACATACCGCCTCCAGACCATTAGTCAACGATTTTGCTTGCGCCGTACATAATATAATATTATGTACGTCGGAGGGACACTTGGAGCAATATAATGTCAGTGTGCGCGGCGAGGCCCTCCTTAAAAAAAGTCTATCATATAATTAATAATTTTACTCCTTAGTCCTCTAACCGTGTTGCGTTCATAACGATTTCGTCTAATGAGCGCAAAAAGGTATTTACATTATTAATTTTGTCGGTAAAGCATCTCGCACATTCTATACAAAAACGTTGAAGTCCGTATCCACTTGACCGTAAAGCTGCGATGATTCTGTGATGTTATGATAAAAAATTCAAATCTTATTTATAAGATAGAGTTAGTTATTCAACAAAATTTCAATCCCAAACAAGGTAACTGTTTGGATAGTAATTCACGGTATTCTATCGGGTGACATGTATTTCGAAATAATTTGTTCACAAACCCCCCCAATAATATTTTTTACTATGAGACAAATAGGTTTGCAGTACCAATTAAACAAGACTTTTTACCCAAACATACCAAAATTCAGGGACAGGTTTGAGGTAGGGGCTAAAGGGTTAGGTTTTCCTTAGGCGGAGTTCCCTATAGAGCAAAAAATAGCAGTTAAATAACAAATCGCATAAGACAAAATAGTTATCATAAACTTAGAGATAATTATTTTCCTCTTTGATTAAGTACCTACTTAGTTTTTATAAATTCGTTTCCTCCACATCTAGTTCTACAAAGACAACTTTTTTAAAAGTATTTAAAAAAATATATCATTACTCATTAGCAGTGGCGCCGAGTCTTATAATTTTAAGTAAAACAAAGGCTAAACTTATCAACCTCCCACCCCCAAACTTGGTTTTAGTACCTTTAAGGCTATAATATCGTCCTTGTAATATTTTCCTTGGTCCACTCCTATCATAAATGAAGCAACAAGAACTTGAGTGGCCAGCTGAGAAATGATTTACCAATAGGTACTATAGCGTCTGGTATAGCTCGCGCGTGGCGCATAAGACATTGATATACTAACAAAATATTATCGAAGAAGGCCCTAAATTGTTTGGATTGCGGTATTCAAGATTTATATTTTACAATACATTATATTACCCATACATAATATTATATCGTTCGAACGGATAAAATTATGAATTGTCAAAACAAAAATGAAATAATGACTATAATATTGTTATTGCATACGAGTCGTATTATTTCCATACCTAATCGTATCTTCCTACGAACAGTACTCGATCAAGGGGCACTGCCGAATCGAAAACAGGTTGTTGCTGCAAGTATAAGTCCTGCATGGCTCCCAAAGCACTAAACGCCATGTACCCCGTCGAGAGGCGCCATTTAGTTGTATACTCCAGCAGCGTGGTGCGGCTACAAAATTATATTTGTTTTCTCCTTTCTCTCTCTCTGGTTCCTCTCTTGTAATATCTCAGATGGAAAATTAAATATAAATATATTATAGTACACACTCAGCTCGCCGTAAATATGACGTAATACCACGGCGCAGTTGTATTAAAATATATTAATTGATGCTACGGTAATACTCAATGGCGAACGTGAATGTGTACGATTTTGATTAGTAGGTATACTGGACCGCCATAACTTTAACAAAATTGAGTGCTTTGACTATAGTACTAAATATGTTACTTCTTAATACATACTAAAATGTTCTGGTGGTCATCTTGTTAAAAGCCAATCACAATCTTCGTAAAAAAAAGTCTTCAAATTCTAAAAATTCAAAACAGGCACTTAAGCACCCCTCAACAATATAATGACCGTTTGTGGTAATAACTGATGCCTCTTCATTTCGCCATTTAGCAAGATACAATATTACCTCACACTGAAATTATTGCAGTTGTTATGTGATAAAACAATTATTATTAGTTACGTAACCGAACGGTTTATACATTTTGTATTTGATGTAAAGTAAATTTTTTTGAAGCTGGCTTCTTTTGTTATTAATCATTTTGTCATGTGTGTGTGTGGCTTTGATGATGGTCATTTTTAATCAATATCAATATCAATATTTATATTACTACCAATCGTTTCCTAAACAATAATAATAATAAAGTATGATAAACGAATGCAATTCGTGTGGTCCGTGTTTACACTACAGATACTCAAGTAGTTGAAACATTATTTGATTTATGAGTTACCCGGACCACATACTGAGCGTAGGAGCGTTTTACTAAATTTTCGGCTATTATTTATTTTATTTCAATAAAAAACGGCAGACAGGTGAGACGCATCTGACAGCAGCGTGTTATTACACTGTCGTAGTGTAACAACACATTAAACAAATGGATATAACAACTAATAATACATTTACAAAACATGATGCACTAAAAAAAAAAAAACAATAGTACCTAATAATAATTGTTAAAAATTTAAAGTATCCGACAAGGTTGTCAACAAGTCGAAAGCTTCTTCGGAGGGACTAATATGCTTATGCGCAATGATATTATGTTGGAATTTAATTAAATATTGGATATTGCTCTTGTCGGTCCTCATTACAGTATATTTTATTAGCCTGTTTTCAACTTGTTCTCATTCCCTGCACCAGCTACACGGGTTTTTTTAAATTATATTATTAATTTGTATTATACGGAATATCTACATGTAAACTAACATTTTATAATTTGTAAATTATTTATATAAAATTGATTTTGAAAACTTCGAATAATTTATATGCAATATGAAAATTGCAAGAATTTTGAATTTCATTAATATAACTTATGGATAGAACACATTGACACGTCGTAAATCTCCATTTGGTTATAAACTTATTGGAGTTGGAGTGATTAATGGGCGCGTGCAACGCTATAATATAATATTAAATTGAAAATAATAATAAAATATATATAATATTTTCTTATTACCAAATTTTTAATTTATTTTGATTCAACAATTAATTATTATTGATGTATCTAAATGAGAAATAATTTGTTTTAAAATCTACCGATAATTTTGTAAGACAAAAAAATACCTA